CATGATTAAGGCTTTCAACAAACTAGGCTTCCGTTTTCCATTATTTGCAAGAGCCAGTTCTAGTCTCCATTTCCTAAAATTGTTTGTTCATAATTATTATATTTATTGAACATATGCATTTGGTTTTTAATTTTAAGGGCTTTACTTTTCTAAATCATTTCCTAATGTTGATGATGTATGTTCTTTTAAAGGTACATACAAATCATTTATTTCAATGTCTCTTTTGAGTACTATTTTGAAAAGATCCATCATCCAGCTAAATAATATAAAAACAATTTAAAAATAATAATTTGTAGTGTTATTATTTTCAATGATAATTTTTTTTGTGTGTGTATAAAACTAAATCATTGAAATAATCAGATAAAGTATTAAATAATACAAATTACAATTTTGAAAAAAAATATTATTTTAAGAACAACATGATATATAAAATAGCTTTAGAAACGTTAAGGATACACATGGATAGGATTGAATAGAGACGGACATTTGATTGAATTATTGTGAAATATACATATTCAAACAATGTAATATTCTAATTTCAATTCTGTATTCTTGATTTTCATTATGTTTATACTATAATTGATTTATTGTTATACCTGTATGTGAGGATTTTAAAAACGTTTGCATTTTCCCTTGGATGTTTTGGCCTTTTACATTTATAATTTGAATCCATTTTTTTTACTTGTTATGATGAAAATCTAAGAAACAATATTGTTCTATTAAACAGTACAATTTGTAGAAATTTATTCAATTGTTAAATTATATCATAATAATTAAAATGTATTATGTTAAAAATATTTTATTTTATTTTTGCTTAACATGATATAACAAAATACAAAAATAAAAAGTAAATATTACAATATACTTACTATTTGAGAATTGTTTTTTCTATAATATGTCGTGTATCCAGTATATTGATAGGTAATTTGTATTTAATCTGTGTATGGTATAGGAATGAACAATATATTATGCACAAATTATACAATTTGAATTTGGCTCACGTAATGCTAAAATGTAAAATATGTAGATTATATATTAATTAAATATAAGTGATAATATTTTGTACTTAAGTGTATACTTTATGAAAATTAGTTTATTAATATATAATGTATACTACTTTGTAACTAATATCGATAAACAAATAAAAAATATATTTTTCAAGAGACATAAAATCACTGTGGTCATAAAATAACAATTTGTTAATCAATAAAAAAAATGTATGTATCAAACGTACATTTTTAAATAGTATAATGTGGGTGATAGGATGATTATTATAATGTCAAATAATTATAACACCATATCACAGTAGCATGAGTTTTATACATTTCATTGTAATTAAATATAGTAAATTGACCTGAATATGGATTGATGTATTGAAAAACTGTAGTAAAACAATATATAATTGACAAGTCTAAATTAAATTTGTTGCCGCTAGTTGCACCATTGTTCTTAAAACTTTAAACTACCTATCGTTATTGGATGAAACGTTATTGTATTGTATATAATATTTGGTACCTATGCATTATAATCATTAATTATGGTGTAGCCGTGTGGCCCGTGTGGGTACTAAATATGAGATATTTTCAAGTACTTGCCTACCTACTAATGTCATGATTATTAGTTTTCGATGATTTCTAAATACAGTATTAAGATGATAATATTATTTACAACTTATCAATGATACTCGTATAATATATTACATGAACATAATAAAACTAAAATAAGAATATATTTCAAAGACAATAATACTAATCTGTAATTGAAGGTCACAGATACCATAGACGTCTTCTCGGTTGATGTTTCACAATGTATTTTAGATTTTATTATCGTCAGAATTTTTTAATTGAAGTACGCGCTAGTATCAAACATTTCAACATGGGTATTTTTTTTTTTTTTATATTAAAAATTAGACTTCAAATTATATGAATTTTCTTGACCAATATCACAATTTGCAAGATATTGGAAGAAGTACTTGCTAGCAAAAAATGTATCAAATTCCCCCCAAACATAAAAAATAAAATATATCTTTAACATTTTTAACTATCATAAATTTGCTCAATTATCACAAAAATTGTCATTCTAAGAGCTGTTAACACAGTATTTATAACACCCTACAAGTCTCAATGAGAATCTATTTATATAGATTTTATTGAAAACAGCCCAATAGTTTTTGAGTTTATTAATTTCGGATAAACCAACATAATTTTAAAAAGTAACACAGGACACGCCTCTATAAAAAAAATGATAAAATATAAAACAACGCTATAAGCGTACCCACGGCGCTTGATATAAATCGAAAGTAATTCAAACTTCTCTCTAAACATTTCTGGTATATCTATGAACAATTTGAAATTTTCATAACATCGATCAAATAAGGTTTTTGAGTACATAAGCTACAAACATACAATTAAATCACTTATATTTGTAAATTCTTTATTCGAGTCCATAGTAACAATTTGAAATATTTCGATTTTCATCGTAAATTTTAAATTTTTTGTGTGAGTTTGCCTCTTCCGGCAACTTTCCCCTTTTTTCTTTCAGTAAAACCTTCTTTGGAAAATTACGAACATTAAAAGTAAATAGCCAATCATTCCAGACATTTTCAAGTTATGACCATCAAACAGCAATTAATATTTTAAATTTAAATTTTTTAATACTGTATGATTATTTATACTAGCCCATCCAACGTTCTCCGTCCAAAGATTTGTATTGAAGATTCTGAGGGGAGCGATGAACGTATTGATTTTACAATGAAGTGTTCTTTTTTGTCTGTCATCACTTTTTGGGACATTTGCTCCGATTTTCTTCAACAGTAACTTTTCTGGTAGGAAAGTGAAACTAGTTGGTACTTCGGAGGTCAAAACTAAAAAATTCCAATATTTTTCAAAAGCGGTAAAAAAAACAAACAATCTAAGGAAAAACGGAAAACCAATTTTCGACAAAATTTTGTTTTTAATGTAACTCTAAAAAAATACATCGTAAACACGTGAAGTTTTCTCTGAATATTTATATCCGCATTTCCTATACACCATACAATTTTCAAAATATTTTTAATAGTGTTGAACTATTTTTAATTATATTAAATTTTCGGTCCGTCAAAAAACTTAAAAATGCAACACAAGGTTTCTCGTAAGTGGTTATTAGTGGAAATTAAAAAATGTTGAGCTTGAATAAACAACAATTTTTATGAGTATTTGAATTTAGAATTTTGTCAAAATACTTAAGTATCATGAAAATTTGCAATTTATTTTGTGTTGGGAATTCATAAAATTTTTCTTTTTATATCTTAAATATTAAAATGAGATTATGAGATTATAAGATTGTCTACCTTAATAAAAAAAAAAAAAAAAAACTGAACCGAAAAATCAAATTAAATTTTTATGAGCGTTTTAAGTAGTTATGTTTACACCCCTAGATTTCTCATGTAGTGATTTTCTAATTTTGCTGTAATTCAAAAACGAATAATTATAGATACTTGAGAAATGTTTATCTTTCTAACTCATTTACTTCATAAGATTTTCAAAGTATTTTGACTCGTTTTTAGCTGTAAACATTTTCAGTTTACAATTTAATTTTTTTTTTTCTTTAAATGTCAATACAATTGTATTTTTTTGGGTTGAAAAGCTTGAAAATTGAATACAAGATTTCTAATATATTGTTACAATAGCAGTTGAAAATTACAAAAAATATATTGGTACGATTTTGCATTATAAGCATTTAAAGTTCAAATGTTGACAAAATTTATCAAATTGAAAATGAACGAAATATTTATAAAATGTTCAACTTTTATAGCTAAGGATAAAAATGTATAACAATGTTCCACATAAATAGTTTATTCTGTAATCGAACAATCTAAAAAATATTTAAGCACAGATTTTTTTATTGATATTTTATGTTCAAATTCAATTATATTACTTTACATAATTTAAATTACATATTGTTAAATAACCAAAAATAATGATTCAAGACATTTTGTTGTAATTTAAAAATATTATTCTTGGGTACCTACTTAAAAGTTTAAGTATATTTTTATATTTTATACACACAATAATGTTTAAAATGGAATTTTTTTGCCAAAAATGAATTTAACCTTTTTTTTTTTTATTTAATAAAATATTACAATCTGTTTCATACAAAAACAATAAGTAACAATGATGATAATGATTAAAGAAGACATGTAACACATGGAAATTAGACTGTCCAGTGACAGAACCTCAGAAAATTCGACAAATTCCTGAAATTTTAATTAAGGTCGGTATAGTGGTTTTTGAATTAATAAATATTAGGTAACAAAAATAATATAGATAAATAATTTTATAAAATATAAGCTCTTCAATTAATTATTTTAAGATATAATTTGTTTATTTGTAGCCAGAAGCAATTTGACCTCATTTTCCCGAGTAATTAATGGCAGCCAATTATAATGTATATACAAGTATACTAATTTCTGATATTGAAGTTTACAATTTTAAGATTATTACAGATTATTCTGTAATCACTAATCTTAATGACAACTATTTTTAAGCAAAACAAAAATTTCCAATTTCCATTGCGAATTTCAAAATCTTTGTTTAAACAACTCTTTAAAATTCAACTTTTGAAATATCTTTTGTTGTCACAAATCTAGATCATTAAAATAACTACTATTACAAATTTCAAGTTCGTGCGTTTTGTAGTTTTTTAGATGTAGCGTTGAGTGAGTGAGTGAGTGGTCTTTAGGTTCTTTTTATATACAGATAAAAATGATTATGGAATACAATTATTAAATCACATAAAATATATTATATAAAAAAAATGTATATGTATATATTTTATAGCTTATGTTTATCTTTCTTCATTCAAATTTTGTAAAAAGGAGCTAACATTTACTTGAGTGTTATATTTATTTACTTTATTATTATAAATTGTTGTTGTTCATTACAAAATGAACATACGTTATATGATAAATTAATTAGGTAACAATACGAATAATATTAAATGTGGAGTGTCAAACCTACGTATTTTTTTATCATTATCATACAAGTTCAATGATGATATTTTGATTATTATACTTAATGTCTTAATGATTAGAAAAGGATAGGTAGTTAATTAAAATAATAATGGTAAAATTGTATGCACATCAGTTATACATGATTACCCTTTATCACACATTTTATAAATTAAATATATTAAAACACAGTATGTATAATTAGTATATAATATTATGGTTATGGATTTTGCGAGTTCGTGGTTGATACACATAATTGCATGTGACATCATAAAAAACATAACTAAACATTTTTCATTGAAATCCCAACTGCATCATTGACAATTGATTCAGATCTTGATTCTGTCTCCAAACTCAAAGATTGATAACTCTAAAACAATGTACAAATACAGTTCATAAATCCATATTAAACTAAATTGAGTAATGAAAATATTATTATAGTTCGTGTACCTCTGCAGCTACTCTATGTAACAAATTGGATGTAACCAGTCCTGTTTGTTCCACCATTTTGTAGAAAGCGCCTTCTTTATTTTTCAATAAATTATATGGATGATCAAACTCAATCATGGTTCCTTTGTCCATAACAAGGACTTTGTCCGAATCCATAACAGTGTTCAAACGATGTGCAATTGTTAAGACTGTACATGTTCGGAATTTGAATCTGATGGTTTTTTGAATCAATGCATCTGTACTAAAATGTTTAGCAAAAATTAAATGTTTGATGATTTGTTTATTAATTTATTTAAAATAATTGAATATTTTACTGTGGATCAACGTTAGCAGTGGCTTCATCCAGTACAAGAATTTTATTACATCGAATAATAGCTCGAGCCAGACATATTAATTGCCTTTGACCAACACTGAAATTGGAACCACCTTCAGACATATTTGTGTTGAGACCATTAGGTAAATTTTCAACAACATCTTTAAGCTCGACCTGATTTATAATTTAAACTTAATGAAAATTCATCACATATTGTGTGTATTTGATGAGAGATTTTGAATCTATTTGTTTTCAATAAAATATGTATTGAACTTTGACAATAATTACTTCATCTAATGCATTTAAAAGAACATGATCTGAGTATTCGTTAAATGGATCTAAATTAGTTCGCATTGTTCCAGAGAACAATACTGGTTCTTGAGGAATGATGGAAAGTTTGGACCGCAAATCATGTAGTCCCAATTCATGTATTTTTATGCCATCGATAATGATATTACCTTCATTTTTGGCTAATCTAAATAAGGCTGCAATTAAAGACGACTTTCCTGCTCCTGTTCTACCAACGATTCCTATCTTTAAATAAAATGTTTAAATTCCAATAATTTATAATCTTTTACGTAATATGAATAAATTATTAACGATGTTTACTTTCTGCATTGGTTCGATGTTTATATTGAGGTTATTAATTGCATACAGTGATTTTGGACCGTATCGTAAATAGAAATTTTTGAATGTAATACTTCCATTTGATGGCCATTTTAAGGAAGGCATTTTATCTAAAAATAAAATACAAACTGTTACATTATTGAAACACTTACACAACTTTTTTTCTGCTAACAAACATGTTATGACTCTTTTAGTTTAGATTTTGAAGTTTGATTAATTTATTATTTTTAATTTTGAACTATGGTATACAACAATTATTAGCATATTATATATACCTACTTTTAATTTTTTAATTCTAAACGGAGAGGAGTGGTGAATGGATTTATTTGAAAATACTTAATACTTTAATCATCCACGTCAATATAGTCCCTTGGTAGAAAATTGATCTAGTATTTAATATTAGGAGGTCATAATTGAAAATTCTAAACATTTTTACAAATAATTTTGGGGAAAAAAAATATAAAAATGTAATTTATTTAAATGCACAATAATGTTTTATGATAGAATTTTGATAAATATCGTCAACAAGAGGAAATTTGCAAATTATTTTGTAATTCAAAATTACTAAAAAAATGTAATATTCATATCTAAGATTTTAAAATGTAATATAACGTTCCTCCAATGTTGTTTTACTCTAATTAAAAAGTGACTGAAATTATTCCAAAAATAATTAAAATAAATATAAAAAAAAACATCTTTTATCAACCTGTATTCATCAATATTCAACGTAATATTAATACAACTAATTTACCTGTAGATGATTCAAACGAATATTCTTGTGGTGCATGTGTGTATTCTAGAACTCTTTCAACTGACGTCATATGGTTTTCTAATTCTGCGGTTTGTCGCATGCCAAATTGAACCAAACCAGCAAGTCCACAAGTTTGGGAAATAGCAAGACCAACATTTCCTCCAAATGTTGCTGAGTACGATTATTAATTATTATTAGTAAATATTTAAAAAAAAAAATGTATCATTGTACGCATAACGTTTATAATAATCTTACTGTTACTGATTACTATGAAGCTAAATGTAACTATGCTTGTATATATAAAGCAAATTAAATCCAACCAAAAGGCAAATGCTCTACTCGATGTTATAAATAAATACCACGCCGACGAATGTAAGTCCTGTAATATTTTCACGTCATACTATATTATATGACACATTTTATATTAATTGATTATACCTGGTGATTATCAAATTCTTTAGACAATATATTTTCCGCCTTGAATGCCCTTATTGTGGTTAAACCCTGAATAGTTGCATTCGAATGGGTGAATACTGGACTACGTGCTAATTATTTGTTCATTACAAAACCCACAAAACGAATAATATGTTAAAAAAAATATATGTATACAGTAATTCTTACTTAATTATCTTTACTTACTACTTCCTTCCAATCGTTTGACACTCCTTGATAATGACAAATAAAAAACCGTTATTTTGTAAAAAATAAATGCTAATATGATAGCTGGAATCATAAGATATATGTTTATAATTCCAACAACTATTAATACTCCCAAAAGGTTCAATGCATTCTAGATAAAATAATTTATATTAAAAAAGATTATTATTTTATTTGGTAGTTATCTATTTTCTATAAAAGATAAGTACTATTTAATTACGTGTATACAATCTAGCAAGGATACAGGTAACATCTCATCAATAGTTCCCATGTCCTTTGAAAAACGATTCAGAATGGATCCTATAAAAAAACAAGTTTAAATTTTGAAAAATAAAATAAATGTTTAAAATTATTATTACCTGATAAATTTGTATTAAAGAAGAATATTGTTGCTCTAATTAGAGTATTAAACATATTATTGTGTAAATTTATGGAAGCTCTCATGCTGATCGATACAAATGTAAGTAATCTTATGGTCGTAATTATAATCAAGAACAATGTAATACATCCAAAAACATTTATACAAGTCTGTCGAGAAATTGAAATCCACAAAATATTATTGAATGAATCATTAAATATTGATGTAGATACACTACTTTTATTTTGAAAAACATGTTCTTCTAAGTTTACCCTGTATTTTTAAAAAGTCAATATTTTATTTTTTATAAGCTATCCGAGCATGTATATTACCAATACGTTATCCAGAAATCTCCAACAGTGGACAATAATTGAGTGAGAATACAGATAAAAATAAAAAATGATATTTTCCACTTTTTTCCACCAGCCATAAAATATGATAAATAGACGGCATATGAAACATTTCCATAAGTTCGTGGTTCTTTAATTTCAGCGGGCTCTACTGTTTTTTCACTGTAATTACTTTGGCTAGTTGACGATATGACACTTGCCCCAGACGCATGGCGTTTAAAAGTAGGCCTTTGTTCAGCACTTAAAATGCTTTTATTATCAATGATATATTCATAATTTGGTAACTTTAAAGATTGAATATAATTTGTTAAGTCTATATTAGATGCCTGAAGTTCTTCGTATGTACCCTTTGCTAATATTTTTGCCTAGAAGAATAGAAACTTTTCTGACTAATCTCATTAGTTATTACAGTTAAAATGTTAATATTTACATTCTCCATGACTACAATTTGATCCATATCGGGTAAGCACTGCATTTGATGAGTTACAAGAATACAAGTTTTTTCTTTGAGGAAACCTATTCAAATGTATAATTTATTAAAACTAAATTATTTAAACATTTTGTATATTAAATTAATAACCTTTTATGCACATTTCAAATAAATGACTTCCAACGTTAGGATCAACCGCTGAAAGTGGGTCATCCAATAAATAAATGTCCGCTTGTCTGTATAAAGCTCTGAAAGTAAAATATGTAACCCCCCAACATAGAATAATAAATATGTTATCTGTTGTAATTTGTATTTATGTGCATCTTTACCTGGCTAAATTTATTCTAACTCTTTGCCCACCACTTAGAGTAACTCCTCTTTCTCCCAAAATTGTTTTATCGCCGTATGGAAACTGTTTGAGATCACGTTCCAATGAACATACATTTATTACCTATTTCAGAACCAAAAAAGAAAATTAAATTGTATACGCAGATTGCATAGTATATGATTTGCAAGTACTATTTACTCTTTTGTAACGATCCTTATCCATTGGTGAATTAAACACAATATTCTGTTGAACAGATCCAGAAAATATCCACGGTGCTTGGGACGCGTAAGAAATTACACCACGCACATGTACGGCACCTTCAGAAAGTGGCAATTCTCGTAAAATAGCTTGAATTAATGAACTCTATAATAAAACCATTATAGTGGCCATTTCATAAAAAAACGTTTAAAATAGATTAAAATATCACAAACTTTTCCTGCTCCTACGGGACCAACTATTGCGACTAAACTGCCAGGTTGTATGGCCACTGATATGTTTTCTAAAGAATTGTTGGTTTGATTTTTTATCCACTTAGCAGTAGCTTTCGAAATAACTATACAAAAATGATTTAAGGGTCCGATGTCATCTTTTGTGTCAGTACTATTTCTATCATAGTCTCTTAATTCGATATGACTATTAATCAACGGTTTATCAACAGTCGATTGCTTTGATATATTAATATGACCATCTTTTTCTTCGTGCAATAAAAAATTCTGTAATTTAAGTCAATACTATTATTAAGTTCTTGACTTGCTGTTACTTAATTATTAGCATAATTTTGTTTGTAAAATTTAAATACCTGTATGCGTTTTATGGATACTTGCAATTCTGAAATTTGTCCCAGGCCTTGACAAAAAAAAAAAGTCATTGTCGGCATTAATATACTGAAGTATGTGGTTATGACAAAAATCTAAAAGTGTTAAAGTTGTATTATTTAATATTGCAATTTACAATAGAGAAGGTATTCATGAATTTATTACTTTTTGAACGGTGATATAATTTCCTAGTAATACGTATGACAAAATACTAATAAATAGTTGAAACCTTGTTTGAATTATTGCTAACGACGACAAAGTATCTCTGATGTATGATGATATTTTTATGTGTGCAATTTCTTGTCTACAATTATATCAACAATTACATACGTATATAATATTTATATTATTTACCTATTAATTGATATAAATTTATAAGACTTATAAAAACATACTTTCTTATATATTTTACACATTTTGAAAATAGTTTTTCCCAAGTGTACATTTTAATAACTTTAATGCCAGAAATTATTTCATTCATTAAACGTATTCTCTCGTCAGTCTTTTTGGCTGTTTTCAATCGATTTTCGGAAATTTTTTTTCCTAGCCATCCTAGAAATATAATAATTTTGTTTCATATTTTATATACATCATACCTACATCATTTTTCTACTAAATTACAATAGTTTACATTCTACAAACCTTGAAATGGAACTATTGCAATCATGATAGCAATGCTCAATAATGAAGATACGCCTATTTCCTGCCACAAAAAATATGTGACCACAATTGATTGTAGGGGACCGATCCATAAATAGTGAAGAAACGTCGCGGCTCTGTCGAACCGATTTACATCATTGGATAGTAAGTTTATTACTTGACCGACCGTGGTTTCACCAATAGCAGTGTTACTTAGACGTAGTGACTGTAAGAATCAAAAATATTTTTAATTAATTCTTTAAATCATGCTTGAAATTGAGAATTTAATTTAATTTTAGTTCCAATTAAATGTTGTTTAAACATGATTAGATGTATTTGAAGTACTTGTAAATATTAAAAAATATGATTAAAAATTTGTATACTTTTCTAAATATCAACGAACAGCAAGCGATCCTCATCTTCATTCCACAATGTAATATTTCTATTAGTGTTACATTTTGCAAGACCATTGAAGTAAACATGCTCAACACTAAGCCAAATGCACATATGTATGCATATCCTAAGTCAGACTTATTGGAACCAACTGGGTTGAAATACGATAATATTCCTCCAATAAATAGTGGTTGAGACATTCTACAAACGATTTATGTATACATAAATACTTAAACTGTTGGTAACTTTTTACTTTAAAATATACACAAATATGTAAGTATACCTACTTATCATACTTACTAGCACACACATATACACAATTTCAAATTACTTTTTTTTTATAAATGTATTTCATTTATTTCATAATCATCAATACATATTTTAAATATATATTAACACAAATAGCATAGTGTACACATTAGGTCTTTCTAAATTGCTCATTATTATGTGAGTAAGTACTTTAAATATTTGACTTCTCTAAAAATTTGAACTATATCTTTTTATTAAGTTTAAAAAAGTGAGTTATTTATAGGATTTTTAGTTGGGTATCAATTAATTATATTTTTCATACTCGTAAAAATATTTAAACTTGTATTAAATAAGTAACAGATTATATATTATATAAATGCTATAATAAAAGATAATTTAATCCTCATTAACTTCAAAATAACAAGTAACAACACAAAAATTACCCTTTACATTTTTTTTAATACTAAAATAGTATTAAGGTAAAAGAATACGAATCATTGAATATGTAATTTGAAGAAAAAATACAACTTTTAGTAAATTAAACTGGTATTTTAACTGAAATTCATGAATAATATTTAGGTATCTAATGGATTGTAATAAAACATATTTAAGAAACTGCCGACACGTACTAAAATTAATGTTTGTCAAATTGTTTATAATATCTTAAATACGATAAAAATGATTAAGTAATTCTTACTTCAATATAATTTTATCAATGAACAGTAAAAAACCATAAAACATGTATCGAGCAGCAGACATCCGAATCAAGGCTTTCGTCAAGCTAGGTTTTTGGTTCAGCTTAAATGCATTTGCCAATTCTAAATTCCATTTACTTCCGTAAAAACAAAAAATATTTAGTAAATTATAAATATGAATACACATATCTACGAAATATATTTTTATTTATTGGATTACTTTTCTAATTCGTTTCCCAATAATGATGAAGTGTGGTCGATTAATGTCGTATACAAATCATCTTCTTCTAAATCTCTTTTTCGCCCTGTTTTGAACAGATTTAACATCCAGCTGTATAACAATAAATTTGAAATAAAATCAACAATATATATTAAACTCAGAAAATGGAAACGAAAGTACCTTATTTGTATAATTATTTAAACACTTATTGCATAAAAAAAAAAATTAACTTGTTTTTTATATGCTATTAGATTAATTAGTGTTACATGAATGCATTAGACACTATATAAATATGCATATACATATATATGGTGGTACAAAAATATTGAAAATTTTAGGAAATTATGACTATTTATAATAAATAAGGAGCATGATATCATTGGCTAGAAATTGTCATAGTTTCCGTTGCTTTCTTATAAGTAATTCTAAATTTTAAATCGAAAATATAAAAATATCCCGTATGGACTTTGCACATTTAGCCGAATTGAAGACATTTGACACTTGCTTATATGACTATATTGACACCTAGGATTAGTACATACAGGACAGTTGAGACCAGAGTATTTTTATTTATAATAATGTTATAATGTTTAGTGTATAATATAATTATAACAATCACTATTAATAAAAATAAAATAAAATAATTAAAAATACATATTATGTTCTAAAATGTAATGTTTAATAACATATTATCATACTGCATTAAAAAAAAAAAATAGTTTGAAAACATAAATATAGTTATTAACTAATTTTGAATTGTGTGGCAATGTTGTAGGGGTCAAAATCAAAAGTCTGTATACCATCCATTTAATTAAAAGGCGATTTCGACATAGCTATCACCTATATTTTGCGACATTTATGTGTTTCATTAAATGTGTTATCTTTACACTCAACACAGTCCTTTTAGCGTTTAGTAGTGTGCAGTAGGTAGGTACGTTTGTTATATTTTACATATCCAGTGCATTTTATAGTAAAAACGGAATTAAATAAAATACGAAACTAATTCAATTAAAAATAGTAAATTTTATAAAAGTTGATAATTTATTAGGTTAATAATTCATATTAATGTACCTACTGTATGTATGACTAGCTGTCCGGCCTGGGGTTGCACGTGCCAAAGTTTGGCACGCCAATTTTCCCGTGGCAAAGATATTTTTTAGATTCTGATTGGAGAGAAACAATGTATTGTTTTTACAATGATATGTGTTTTTTATTTTTTTTGCCTGTTATCTGTCATAAACTTTTAGGTCAATAAAATTGCTCTGATTTTGTACTTCAAAATCTTTTCTGGAAGGAAATTGAATCTAGTTAGAACACTGAGGGTGTGGGGGTTAAATATAAGGTTCCAGTAGTCTTAAAATTAAAAAAAATAAATCAAAAACAAATTTTAACTAAATCGATTTTATTTTTTTGGTATAGCCAAAACTGATACTTGTATATACTGAATGTTTACCAAATATTAATATGACTATTTTTCATATCAGTGCATGATGACCTTTTAAAAATATTTTCACTTTTTTTTTTAAATATGTTATATTGTTTTATGTGTGTGTGTATGCCATTTATTTTCTTCTAACCCAAATAACAATATAATATGTATAAAATGACAATCATATATTAAATAAAATAAAAAAATATTATATTTTAGTATCGATTCTTAAATATTGTAGCCGCGATATACGGTTGTTAATTCACGGGTCTTAGAAATTTAATAAAAGAGTTAAATTGTATTTATTGCGTAATTCTGTTTGAATATTATGATTGTGTTTTTAGGGTCCATGCCTATTCGTTTAATTTAGTTAGCGACACCAGGATGTGAATTGGTACTATTTCGAGTTAAATTGATCTGGCATTATACATAATTAAATTCCACTTATTAATGTAAGTGATTGAAAGATTAACTAAATTGTTAATACTGTTGATGATTATAACAATTAGTATTATACACTTAAATATTTATATAAAGTGTAGCATTATAATCAGTTGGTTAGCACATTGTGTATGCCTAGTTGAGATAATAAGTAATAACTATAGTTAGTTGATATATAGTATTTACTTCAGAAAAATATGATAGTATATTAATCGGTTCGTCCTGTACTCTTGAAACATTTTAGTTTGATTAAAACACGTTATTTCATGGCATTGGCTACCAGTTTGTTTATAATATTTAAACATTTAAGGTCAAGAGCTTATTGAAATAATGTTAAATTTGAATTATTCAAATGTATATATTTTAATGTATTTACCTGTATGAAATGATTTCAAAAATATTTGCATTGTTTCTTGGATGCTGAGGCCGTTCAACCTTTTTATTAGAATCTGATATTAGCCTAAAATAATATTCAAAATATTAATCATTTTTGAAACAAAACATAGAAATCAGAATTTAAAACAATTACCTGTACATAATGTATTACGCTTATCATCAATTTTACATTCAAATAACTGTTATGTTAAGTTAATTATTTTGAAGTTTTTCTCTTATTTCTTCTTCTTCTTCTTCTTCTTCTTTAATGTATATACGAATAAAAAAAAACGTCAATATTAATTGGTAAGCTGAGAAAAAGCTTAAAAATGAATTAAGTATTTAACATGTATTCATCTTATTTTTACATTGTGCGTCTTTAATACATATTTGCTTATTGTGTTATTATATTTTCTATATCCACGTTTGTTATCTGTATTCTGTATTGATAATATAATAATTACTGATCTCGTATTTGTTGCAAGACAGATCGAGGCTTCAATTGCCGTCCTTATCTTATCCAATTTTATTTTTTATTATTAAGATTATTATGAAACAATCTATTATTAGGTGATGTATAATGTTTTTATTTCTGATAAAAATGTTCCATGCTATTGTAGATTATTTTTTGGTGGCATCTAAAAAATCCTATACCTACAGTATTATATATCAGAGGGTTTCTATATTGTTAGCCTGCCCCCTCATGTTTTTTTTTATGTTGTCATATATTTTAAGCTACCAAAATTAATAGTATTAAATAATGTATTTATTTCTTCATTTTAAATAGTTTTTCAATTTCATTTATAACTAATTTGACATATTATTTTAAAGAAATATTATCTCACTTTCATCTCACTTCTCATCTCAATATCACTTTTATTCCACAATATTATTAATATTACAAATGTGTCTTAAAAAATACCTGTAGCTGGGTTTCATCATTTTTACATTAGACTATCCTTTAAAATAAGTTTTATGTTTGTTTTTTTTCTATTGATTAAAATATGATGTTTGGAATGGACCCAATAAAAAGATTTAATTGGTCGACTATGTTCCGGTTAACTACTGAACTCTGACCGATTTCCAAATTCCAATTATTATTATCATTCATTTTTTTTTATACTCGTAATTAAAATATATCTCACTGCTACTTTGTTAAAATACGTGAAAAAGTCGATTAGATACTTGTCTTGTACCTATTATCGTTTGATAAAAATAAGCGTTTGGAAATTTCGTTTTTAATAAAACAATTAATCTACTTACCTCTCAAAAATGATAACGCCTGAAAAACTTGTTGAGCGATCTCGTAAGGTACTTATAGTTGGTTATTTTACGGATTATTCTGGTTATTTTAAGTTACAGAGTTTTGCAGCATAATAGTGTTGATCATCCGGCTGGCGTATGTTGCAGTACTGTCAGAACGCGCGACGTAAGAGATGACGAAACGGTAATAATAACATACTCAAGAAAGCGATTATTATTATTATTATATAATACAATTGACGATGACGATACTGATGAAAATAGTTGTGCTCTGTATGCACATTGAACCCTTCTGTTAAATTTTTTTTTATGAATTATAAATATTATATTTTATATTTATAACATGACAATAATCAGTTATATGATTTTTCTATATTATTGGTTATAAAAAAATAGAAGTATTTGGCAAGTAGATCTAGAAAATATACAGCATTGCTATAATAATTATTACGGCTTAAGATTGAAAAATTAAAGTAATTATTCTTAAAACACTTAGTTGATTTTCACAGCAGTGTGTCACTAAATTGGTGTGAAGGTTAGCTTATCAAAAAACAATTATTTTTAAGCTTTTGTAATTTAAATATATCAGAGGTTTAGTTAATAGAATATAATATGCTCCATAATTAGAGTATAATTTTTAAATAAATATTTAAAAATGTTTACAGACCTTAACATAGTATATTAAATAACATATGCTTATTTAAATCTTATACATTAGTATAATGTATTGCAAATATATAATTATTTGTTGCAATCACTTATTACAAGTATTCTTACCAACAGTTAAAAATTATAAAGTAAAATATAATTTATCAACATTTTAACGGGGATTAAATACAAGACAAATTATTCAACATTCTGCAATCTATAGTCTATACTAATCTGATTTGTAATTTACAAAAAAAAAAACAACATTTTATTGATGTTATCTTATATTAAACATTATGTCAAATCCGATTATCTTAAATTTAAACTATAAACAATTACTTAATATTTGTACTAATTTACTTATTATGAGTTTTTCTTGGAGATTTGATCTGCATTCTTAATGTATAATTTTGATTACGTTTTAATATTTAAACTTTTCGTTTCATAACTCTATGACAATTAAACAATAAATTAATGTGGCGTTGTATTATAAGTTTCAGTGTAAGAATATTAGGTACTATACATAAAAGTTATAAAATTATACCTCTGCGGCTAATCTATGTAATAAATCAGCAGTATCATGTCCCGTTTGTTCTACCATTTTGTAAAAAGTGCCTTCTTTATTTTGCAATAAATTATGTGGGTGGTCAAATTCGACCATTTTTCCTGCATCCATAACAATCACCTTGTCCGAATCAATATCAGTGTTCAACCGATGAGCAATTGTTAAGACTGTACATGTTCGGAATTTGTTTCTAATCGTCCTTTGAATCAATAAATCTGTTCTGGAAATTCAAACCAAATGTAATTCAATAGAGTTTTATATTTGTTGTGCATTAATTATTGAATATATTATTAAGTTTAATAAGTACTGTTGATCAACGTTAGCAGTGGCTTCATCCAGTACAAGAATTTTAGTATTTCGAACAATAGCCCTAGCAAGGCATACTAATTGTCTTTGACCAACACTAAGATTGGAACCGTCTTCAGACATTTTTGAATTAAGACCATCGGGTAAATTGTCAACAACGTCTTTAAGCTCGACCTAATAAAAAAATTATATTTATTGAGAACAATTTTCTGTGACATCCCTGGATCAGATATCATTACATTTTAATTAAAATATTATTTAAAAATTAAAATAATTACTTCATCTAAGGCGTTCCAAAGAATATGATCTGGGTATTTTTCTGATGGATCTAAATTTTTTCGAACTGTCCCTGAGAACAATACTGGTTGTTGAGGTATAATGGTGAGCTTGGACCGTAACTCATACAGATCAAGTTCATGAATTTCTATACCATCAATGATGATATTACCTTCATGGAAAGCTAATCTAAATAATGATCCGACTAAAGACGATTTCCCTGCACCAGTTCTGCCAACAATTCCTATCTAATTTTAAAATAGCATTGAAAACTTCTACAAACTTTCTTCAGATGGGTATTTATAATTTTAATTAAATATACTTTTTGCATTGATTCTATGTTTAAATTGAGGTTACTTATAACACACGGTGAATTCAGATCATATCGTATACAAAAGTTGATGAATATAATTTGTCCACTTGAAGGCCATTCCAATGGAGGTTTTTTATCTAATCAAGTGATTTAAAAAACGAGTTAAGTACAGATATCTATTTATCATGGATTTTAACTCTCAATAATAAATAGTAATTTAGTGAAATTATTTAGTACAATTTACCAGAGCTTGGTTCAATAGAACCTTCTTGCGGGATATTCGTGTATTCTAGTACCCTCTCAACTGATGTCATGTGGTTTTCTAATTCAGCTGCTTGTCTCATCGTAAACTGTAAAACTCCAGCCAGTCCAAAAGATTGTGTTATAGCAAGACCAACATTTCCTCCAGATATACCTGGGTAGAGGATTGGTGGAGTCAAATTGTATTTTATAATAATAAACAAAAATCTTTATTATAATGTACAGTGCACACAAAATTGAATCTTACTATTGGTAAATGCTAAGAAACTGAATGTGACTATAGATGTATAGATGAAGCAAATAATATCCAACCAAAATCCAAAGGCTCTGCTCGACGTTAAAAATAAATACCATGCCGAAGAATGTAAATCCTATAAAATCACCTCAAAAATATAAGCACACACGAATTAATATTGGTTTGTAGTACTAACTTGATGAGCATCAAATTCATTTGACAAAATGTTTTCTGCTTTAAATGCTCTAATAGTTGTTAAACCCTGAATACTCGCATTTAAATGAGTGAAGACAGGACTACGAGCTGGAATGTTTAGATAACAATTATTTTAAATTATAAACGTATATATTATATTATCTTATACTATATACTATATATAGTATAAGTACTTGGTTCATAATTTAAAACTATTACTTACTTATTCCTTCCAGCCGTTTTGCACTTCGAGACAATGACAAATAAAAAACTGTTATCTTGTAAAAGGTAAACCCTAAGATGATGGTGGGTAATATCAGGTAAATGTTAATGCACACAACAATAATACAAATTGCCAAACAATGCAATGACAACTAATTTTAAAAATTTCATTATAAATAAACAATAATTCAAATATATTAAAATAATTATATTACAAGTAAACATTCGTTCATTATTTGTGGCAACGTTTCATCTATAGCACCCATGTCCTTGGAAAAACGGTTAAGAATTGCGCCTATAATATAAATTTAAATATATACTCAGTTAACAAAAATAGTACAAAATATACTTTATTAAAATAGTCCTGACCTGACAAATTTGTATTAAAGAAATTTATTTTAGCTCTGATTAAAGCGCTAAATATATTATTGTGCAAATTCGTGGAAGCTTTCATACACACCATTACAAAAGCAAATGTTTTAATGTTGATTGTTATTACTATAAATAAAGTAATAGCACCAAAAACATAAATACACACTTCTCGATTAATTGACCACATAAAAATTGTGTTCATTGAGTTTTTGGTCGTTGACGTAGACAGACTTTCATTATGAAATACTGATTCTTCTAGATTTACCCTAATTCAAATATTCAGTAACAAATATATAAAACGATTTTAACAGTAAGTATTACCATGTCATTAAATATTAAAAATACCAATATGTAATCCATAGATCTCCGCTAGATGCTACTGTTTGAGACAAAATAGACGCAAATATTAAATATAATATTGTGCTTATCTTTCCTCCACCTACAAAGTATGCCAAATAGGTATCCCATGAAATATTTCCTGAAGATCGAATTTCAGTTATTTTCGCTTGTTCTTCTTGATTTGTTATTTCTTTACTATCACCCAATAATGACACATCACTAGCTGCAGATATTTTTCGATCAAATATAGACTTTTTGGCAACATTAAAATCATTCTCATTATTAATAATCATGGATTGATTATCAGATGTCATTGGAGATTGAAGAGATTTCAGAAAGCTTAAATCGGTCGTTTGAAGTTCTTCATAAGTACGTTTCACTATTAAATTTGCCTGCAAAAAAAAAATCAATATTTTAAACTTGAAAACGTACTCGGGAATATAATATAACGTATCATAACATATTGTTTACATTATCCATGTGAACAATTTGATCGACCTTAGCCAAGTACTGTATTTGATGTGTGATTAAAATACAAGTTTTTTCATTAAGGAAATCTGTAAAATAATAATGTACAAAAATCCTGTATTATATGGTTCAAAGTTATTCAAGATAACCTTTAATGCATTTTTCAAATAAATGACTGCTGACGTGTGGGTCTACAGCTGAAAGAGGATCGTCCAACAAATAAATATTGGCTTGTTTATAGATAGCTCTAGAAAAAAAAATATATATAGTTACTTAACAAAGTATTTCATGAATAATTGTATTTTTAATTTTACCGAGCTAAATTTATTCTTGATTTTTGTCCTCCACTTAGAGTAACTCCCCTTTCTCCTACAATTGTCTTATCACCATATGGGAACTTTTCGAAATCACTTTTTAATGCACATACTTTTATTACCTATTTTACATACATCCGATAAGGAAATCAAACATAGAATTATTTTAGAGTAACCGTATTTTAGGTTTAAATGTATTACTTGTTTATAACGATACTCATCAATTGGTGAGTTGAATATGATATTCTGTTTTATAGAACCAGAAAATAACCACGGTTCTTGGGATGCATAAGAAATTACACCATGGACGTCTAAGGAGCCTTCGGAAAGTGGCAATTCTCGTAGAATAACTTGAAACAATGAACTCTGCAATACACATTTTAATGTAACAGCTGATAACTTTTTTTTTGTAATTTGTGTCATACTTTTCCAGCACCCACAGGACCAATTATGCCGACCAATCGACCAGATGGTACAGACAGATTAATGTTTTCTAGAGTGTTACTTGTTTGATTATCTGTCCACTTAGCAGTTGCTTTTGACAATACGATGCTATGAGTATTTGATAATTCTGTATTGTGATGACTTAAGACGCCATTTTCATTTGAAACGCACTTTGTTAAATCTTTTATTGATTCAGCAGATTTTGATGTAGTTGGTAATTGATTATCCTTTTCATCTTGTAATAAGAAATCCTTTATTTGAAAATTAAGTATCATATTTGTTTTTAAATACTGATTTAAAAATTGAGTTAGTTAAATAATTAATACAGACTTAAGTCTATATTACCAATTATATATACCTGTATGCGTTTGATCGAAACTTGTAATTCGGTTATTTCCGATATACTTTGACAAAAACAATTTATGGGATGAAGTGATATAGTATACAAAGTATATATGATAAAAACCTATGAGTGTAATTAATAAAAGGTACATATAATATTGTTACATTGAAGAAATAATTGATTTTGAATTTACTTTTTGTGCTGAGATATAATTTCCTAACAATACGTATGACAAAATACTTAAAAATAGTTGGAACTTTGATTGAATCAATGCTAACGATATCATAATATTTTTTATGTACATTGCCATTTGTATATGTCGAATTTCTTTTCTAAAATTATATAAATATTTATATTTAACATTTCATTATATTTTAAATCATAGGTAGGTACTTTCTTATGTATTTAATTAGTTTTCCAAAAGGTATTTCCCAAGTATACATCTTGATTACTTTTACGCCAGAAATTATTTCATTCATAAAACGTATTCTTTCGTCAGTTCTTTTAGCTGTCTTCTTTCGTTGCTCTCTAAGTTTTTTCCCCAATATTGCTGTAAATTTGACAATATTGTTTAACCACATAATTTTGCTAGTCAAACTTTCCACAAACCTTGAAACAAAATAGTTATAGATAGTATAACTATGGTTATTAACGAAGATACACCAATTTCCAGCCACAAAAAATACGTGACCATAATTGCTTGAAGTGGGCCAATCCATAGGTAGTGTAGAAATGTAGCTGATTTATCGAATCGACTTACATCATTTGATAACAAATTAATCACTCGACCGACTATGGCATTACCAATAGCTGTGTGACCTAGGCGTAATGACTGGGTACAAAATATATATTCATTAAATTTCATAAGCATTTTTGAAACTTATTTTATTATGTATTTGTTGAATGGCATAAAATATCATTAATATTTTTCGTAACAGAATATTGAAATATGAAAATACATAATTTATTTTAAAAATTTGATGAATATTTTAAGTAATTTGGTTAAATATTAAACAATTGAAAGAACCTCTTATTATTGATTTCATATTACAATAATTCATTCCTAAGTGTATATAATGTATATTATACCTTTCTATATATAACCGAACAGCAAGCAACTCGAATTTTCATTCCACTATGTAAAATTTCAATTTGTGACGAATGATACAAAATTATTGAAGTAAACATGCTCAATGCTAGACCAATCGCACATGTTAATGAATACCCCAAGTTCGCTTTTTCAGAATTATCTGGGTTGAAATATGATAATATTCCGCCAATAAATAGAGCTTGGGATATTCTGTACATAAAAAATATGTAAAATAACGTCATAAAAGATGTTATAGTTATTGAACCATGTCAAAACCTTAACAAACCGGATTTCGCCTTGGTGTCAATAATTAAGACATAAAAAAATCAACTATTAAATTCTTACTTCAAAATAACTTTATCGACGAAGAGCATAATTCCATAAAGCATAAATTTATATCCAAATATTCCAATCAAAATTTTTCCTAGACTAGGATTCCGATTTGTCTTATGTGCATTCTCAAGTTCTAATCTCCATTTTCTTCAGTAAAAATTAAATCAAGTTAATTACAAATAATAATATACACAAAAAAATTTTGAATTGATGAGTTTACTTTTCTAATTCGTTTCCCAACAATGAAGAACTGTGATCGTTTAATGTCGTAAATAAATCATCTTCTTCTAAATCCCTTTGTTGTCCTATCTTAAATATGTTTAACAACCAGCTGTAAAGAAAAAAAATACTCAAGGACATTAGAAACCCTTTTATTATTTAATATTGTTTTGGCAACATTTTATTCAAAAAAATTATATACATTTTTGAATTAGAATTAAGTCACCAATTATCAATACTTAACCGCTTAACATTCTACCTAACACTGTCATACAGATACAATTTTTCCCTAGATGGGAGGAAGGGCAGTGTATGTTACTAATACATTTCATCTGAGTGAAGACATTGTGTGTCTTTGTGGGTGTGTTAGTCAAGGATATTTTATTTTATCTGAATATTATTTTTATTAGCAATATTATAGACAGGTTGAATTCATTTTTGAAAGAAACCTTATATTTGCATACCCTTGTTCCTAAAATGATCAGTAATCTTAAACAACCTTAAACGATACCAGAGCGCATTTAAGCACATATGCGCAGCCACTAATTTACCTCATCTTTTAACACATGTTGCATAGCAGCAGGGGTAGTTATAGTATATTCATTTTAGAATTTTTTATATTTTAAATTATTTTTTTCCCGCGCACACTGTATTTTACGTATTTTCACCCTATAATTCTTACAAGCCATTTCAATACTTAAGTCATCTCTTTCTTCGTACGTTCATTTTAATTCAGCTGATTTTAATTACGCACATATACTTTATTATTTTAACTGGATTCTAATATGAGTGTATTGAGAATTAATAATTAATATAATTTCATTGATTAAATTTTATTTACCTAAATGAAATAATTTCAAATATATTTGCATTTTTTCTTGGGTTTTGAGGCCGTGTGACTTTATTATCAGCATCCGTTATAACTCTAAAAAAGTAAAATGTGCAATATGTATAGTGATTACACTAATAATATACTCAAGTTATTAATAATAGATATTTCATAACTGACCTGTACATGATGTGAAGTGAATGATAACTATTAATGGTTTAAGAACATAATATTGTATTACGTATTTTGATTTGATTCTTCCTTAGTAATTTGTGCAAATAAAAAAAATCACAATGTTAGTTAATATTTAAACTTACAACAAAGGTAATTAAATCTTTTATTTTAAAAATATTTGTTGTTAATATTATACATTGGTAAATTTATCTTAACAAATTTCATTAAACATAACTTGCATCAAAATTGTTTAAATTTACTATTCATAAATTCTACAATTTCTTGATAACATTTTGAGAATTGATTTTGCTTGTAAAGTTACCTGTTTAAATTTGAAAATAATATTATGTCTCATGGTAAGTCACTTACGCACTGTTTTAGAAAAAGAATATTATGATTAGAAAAGTGGTGTTGTTAATTTATAATTTATATTATTCACATAAATTGTATTCTTTAATCTGCCTAGTCAACTATTTGTAACTGATAATGACTAATTCTTTAGAAAGTTTTCAAGTACGACCTCTCCTAGATATAAAATGTATGTTTCTGAATTACAAATATTTATTACCTACCTGCCTGCAATGATATGTTGTGTTATCTTTATCAGTGCATTACGGTGATCAAACAATTGATTGATTATTTTTGTGTTGCGTCAAAAAGAATCGAAGGTGTAGGTACTTGAGTGTAAGGTGATATTTATGATATATTGTCAAGCCATAGTAAGCTTATTTTCGATATCAATTTTTTAAGTTGTATAATACTATATTATTATCTAAAGAGGAATTAAGATATTGTCGCCATTCACAAAAAAATAATAATAATATTAATGTAATAATCAGGGTTCGGGATTTATAGCATTTGCATATCCATCATAGGTGATGTAAAATATAGCAGAGTGATGTACAAATACATTTTATAGTACGGATAAATCAAATATAAAATTTTATTTTGCATATTTTTGCATATTTTGGGGTTTTTTGAATATTTCAAAAGTTTTTGCATACTATTTTTTTATACTGATGCATATTTAACGGTTTTTAAGGATTGATGGATATTATTGTTCAAAATATATTAATTAGAGCTATCTGTCACAAAAATGTTGCACATGAACGTGATTTATAAATACTCAATAAATCGAAAACCATGTAGTCATCTGTAATAGTTAATTGAAAAACGTCTGATTATCTACATTCTTACATTCGTATCGCTCGGAAAATTATGAAATAATCTATCTAGTGATCGATATAAACAGCAACAGTGCACATTTTTTTTTTCAGAACATTCAAAACCAAATTTTCAAGATTTTGTTTTAATTTTTTTAAATTTTTAAATTAATAATTATATTTAAATTCCAATTTTTTTTATATTCATATGAAATAAATCCTTTTTTTAGTGACATTTTATGTGTTTTATTTTTATTTTGAGCGCATACTTTTAAGTTTATCGGGTCATATATAAGCGCATATTTTAGTGCTTTTTAGTGCTATAAGTCCCGATAATACCCTGGTAATAATGTGATGACAAGTGATGGAAGTACATAAAAAACATATTCTATTACCTGATTAATAGTGATTTAAGAAAAAATTGCGTTTTGAGGTTTTTGGACACAACTTAAGAGTATGGATTAAAAAAAAAAAACTATTCATTGTGCATCCAATATACATTTTAATAAAAACTAACAATGCGTTAGTAAAATGTTTTCTATGTTTCGTGTCTATTGTTTGTTACTTTACACGTTTCCACTACCTAATGATACTTGCTTATTTTATTATATAATAATATAAAATTTAAACATAAATCGACATTGATTTTTCTATAGTGTTTGAAATTAGAATTTTGACGATTTGCTTGCAAATTTGCAAATTGTTTTGTTGTTCAAAAATAAAACTCACGAATTAATGTTCAGTATTCATACAATCATACATAAGCTTTTATCAATGAAATATTAAAATTTAAAAATGATATGCTCGATTTTGAAGTTAAAAATGTATACGATTTTAAATTTTTATAGGCATGGGCTGTAGAATGTAATAAACCTTTTTTTCTAATTAGTTCTTACTGAAAACTATAAATCTAAAAAAAATACATGAGGGCAACTTTTTCAAAAGACATTTGAAGTTGATGAAACTTCGATGAAATTGGATAGTTAATAAAATAATAACGATTTAAGTTTCAGGATACTCCTAAAGTAATGTGAAAGATCTCAAGAATTACAAAACGGGTTTAAACTATTCTTTTTTCCTTAACATGGGGAAAAATCAAATCTTTCTGTCCACCCAATCGTTTTGCTGTTATATCAACGGAAGATGGTAAAACTGAATCTGACGTATTTTTCGTCTTATAGCAATATAGTTGAGCATGAAAAACTAACTACAATCAAAAAATCTAAAAGAACAAAAGTCCATTCTCGCCTCTCGGCTGGTGATTCATTTAAAGAACATCATTATTTTTTTTAGAATTTCACAAAAAATTAATACAGCTCACGGGTATTAATAACTTTTTGTTTAAGTCCACGCCATCATTTTAATAATTCACTCCAGTCACCTAATATTCTATACAATATTGGAGCACTAGACACTAGTTCAGAATTACATACCTTTCTTCCTCATGACAAGTAGTGCCGACACAAGGTAGTAATTCGTATTTTTCATCATTATACAATCTTAACTGATATTTCAGATGCTCTGGAGGAGTTAGGTTTCACGTGTGGTGAATATTAAAAAAATATTTTACTGGCCAATACCACTTTTTTACGCCGAACTGGCTCTTGATGATAGCAGTAATCAAAAAATCTTTAATATCTCTACTCTGCTCCACTAAATCGTAGTTATCGAAAAACCATACAATGAAATGATACATGAATCAATGAATGATTCATCTTATACATCTTGTACCTGTCAAGGGTAGGTAGGTCATACTCAACAAAGACTAGTTTAGACCGTTGTATTAATAAAATCAATATATAAATATAAATACCTAATAAATAAATAACGATTGCACATAATAATAGTATGCACCATAATGTTTGAACTTATAAATATTTTTTCAATGAAGATTAATATTGTTTCAACTTATAATGTAACAACTATTGTATTAATAAATTATTTATGCATGTAATAGTACATTTTAATCTATAATAATAGATAACGCGATTCCTTTTATAACGCTTAGTTCATAAAATTTATGTTTTTATTATAAAAGAAGTCATTGTTCGCAAAAATTGTATCAATGTATGATTTATTAAGTTAATTGATATTTACCTGCAGGCTACAAATACAACATTGATATTGTATAAATTGTTGTGGTTACCTCAAACTTAAACTATTAAGAGATAATAATAGAAAACAAGGGGAAGTGGATACTGCTCAACAGGTCTGCTGCATAATTGGAATCATCTGGTTCACCGTAAGGGATGTGTGAAAATTCTTAGTGTATACGAAAACGATTCCGAGGCTTGAACAAAGACAAGTCTATCGACTTTTTTACTAAGTATATTAATTTATGATACTATTTCTATTTATAGACATTTATTTTAATATTAGTTATTTCCATGTTGGTAATATAAGTAGTAGGTTAAATTAATTTTTGTCAATCGTGTTTGTAAAATAAAACGATATGCTTTAAAAGTTTCAAAAGAATATTTTTAAATTATAGCAAAATACCTAAAATGATTATTATTTATAAAAATAATTTCTAATTTTGTCTAAATTTGAACTAATAATATAAAAAAAAAAGGAATCTAATGTATATAACTTTTGGATACAGTATTAACTACTTATGATACATTTTAATATGTATCCTCACTGTACATTGTCAAACCTTAGCTATATACATTTAATATTTTATATAATTTTTTACAAGTTACAAAATAATTTGCAAATTTTTGTGATTTAGATAAATATGTTATCAAACATTTAAACTTTAAGTGCTTATAAAAAAAATTGTGACATCATACCTTAATTGGGCTGGAGACTGATATAGAAATAACCATATAAGACTACTGGCTGAATGTTAGACAAAACTGTGGGACTTCGGTTTCACAAATTTTTAATTTTAAAAATTATTGAAAATATTTAACAACACTGGTCATATAATTTAAAATGAACTTACAACATCACATTCGATTCCTAGAATACATCATATAAGGAAATACTTGCTGATTTCCGCCCAGCAACCATATGGTATAATTTTGGGAAATTGTAAAATCCACCCAAAATGAACAGGTAACAATAAGGTCTATGGTAAATTCCACCAGGGAAAATATCCAAGTAAAAAAAGATGCACTTAAATTCCACCCGAAAAATATACAGGTTCAAAAATGGGTTTGTAAACTCCGTCCGGAAATATAAAAAATTTAAACTAAGCGTTCCGTGACTGACGAGGTGTTGATGAGTTGGGGCCCAATCCCTAAATAACGTATGAGTTACGGCTCGGGCTTACGAGAGATACATACGATTTGCAGCCCGGGTCTATGAAAGGTAATATGTACGAATTGAGGCCATCCAATAATGTATATATTAATTATGTACATACACTATATAATGTACAGTAGGTGCTAACACCACAGTACAAATTTTCTAAATTATTACTAATACTATGTATTTTCCAATATTGTCGTATACTTATATTGTTTTGGGTTTCTAGAATATAATATGACATTAATAATAATCAGTGTTGGGAATAGACAACTAATAATTTATCTAGATAAAGGTAAAGATAACAGTACTACATTTTATTAGAACATTTTAAAAAACAGTACACCTAGTTTATTTTATAGATAAACTTCATAAGAATATACGAAGAGTCATTTTCTGACTTAATAAATAGTTAAATAAATAAGGTAGTATTATTGAAAAAATAAAATAAATGCTTTTTTAAACTCATTTAAAACATTTTCAAAATTAACACAAAATAATTCATTTTTAAATAAACTCCATAGGAATATATGAAGAGGCATTCTCTGACTTGATAAATAATTACAGAAATAAGGTTACATTTGAAAAAAAAATAATGGTTTAAGCCATATTATTTTGATCTACAACATAAAATCATATCCAAAGTTATATTATTTAACCTGTTACAT